TAAGTGTTCATTCAGTGTGGACTTATTTTTTTTTAAATTTATTTATTATTTATTTCCAGTGTTGATCAGTTTTCTGCTGATCGCCAAGAGTTCACGGAACACCAGGAGGAGATGGGCTCAGTGCGCTGCCTGTCAGAAACAGCCGGGTTTACTTTAAAAGCACGTCTCCTGTGTTGGAAAAAAAAAGGTAAATAAAGATCTTTGCTTCACTTTAAATTGAATCAGCTTTAGCGATTCCGTCCCCACCCTTCTTTGTTTTCTTAACATTTTTTCTCTCCCTCTCTCATCTATTCTGTTGGATTTCTCCAAAAATACTAAAAGGCAAAACTGAACTGCTCAACTTTCCCATGTCTCTTTTTTTTTCTTTCTCTCTCTCTCAGGAAAAAACAAACAAAAATAAAAGCCAAACTTAAATACTGTAAACTCCGCAGTCCCTTTCCCCCCCTTTTTTTCCTCTAAATGCTCGGATTGTTCATGAAAATAGTCACTGCACAGGACTCTGTAGTGTGCGGTGTAGAGGAGGGGTCTCTGCTTGGGAATATACGTCCTCCATATTCGGGTGAGGGACCCCCACTGGTGTCATTCTTTTCTCTTTTTGTCTTCTGTTGCAAAACCAAACACGGACAACCTCTTTTTCCAACTGCAGAGTGCCGGCTAAAGTGCTGATTTCGTGAGCAGATGGCTTTGGGCATTTTAAGAAATGGTTTTCCAGCGCCCCTTTCACCCCCACTTCGATGGAGGTCCTCTTCTTTCGTTTCCTGCCCTGCGCGGCTATCTTGTCCAAATTGGTGGGACTGCCCGTGTTGGAGTCTGTCTCCTCCAGCCACTTGTTAAGGAGCGGCTTAAGTTTGCACATGTTCTTGAAGCTGAGCTGCAGCGCCTCAAACCTGCAGATTGTGGTCTGAGAAAAGACGTTTCCATACAGGGTGCCCAAGGCCAAGCCCACGTCCGCCTGCGTAAAGCCCAGTTTGATCCGCCGCTGCTTGAACTGCTTGGCGAACTGCTCCAGGTCGTCGGAGCTGGGCGCGTCCTCGTCCGAGTGGTCCTGGTGGTGGCTGAAAGCCTGCTGGGGCGACTCCATCTGGTTGTCGTGGCTGCCCGTGTCGTCGTGGAGCGGGTCCCGCATGCCGTGGTGCAGGGAGCCGGGCTGGGGGCTCAGCATGGCGTTAAGGTTTGTGTATCCCGGCTGGGAGTAGACCAGCGACTGGTGGCCGTTGGACGCGGGKGACAGCGGGGATAAGTGGTGCGTCGTGGCGGGAGCCCACGAGCCGTGGTGGGCATTCTGCGTCTGCTGGTGCACCAGGTGGGATCTGTGGTGGAAGCCGCTGCTCAGGTCCTCCCTGCTCGCCTGCACGCTGGCTTTGTGCTCCTGCTGTCCGATGTGGGTGCCGCTGGACCAGTCGGTGTTGGAGGTGGGCAGCCACTGGTGGTGCGTCAGGCTCATCGGGTGCCCCGTGTTGGTGGCCGCGAGCCCTTGCAAGTACTCGTGGTGCATCATTTTCTGCACCTCTCTGTAGGTCGTCCCCTGGTGCATCCTGTCCGAATCCGGATGCATGAGCGGGTTGGACGGCAAGGAGTTATTCCTCGGAATATACTGAGCTGTTGTCGCCATGGCTCCAACTTGGAAAACTGACGAGCGCTTTGGAGGTCTCCAGGCTTTAGAGCCAAAAAAAACGCAACAACCTGCTTTGGGAGGTCTTGAGGAAGAGCGAGGACACGCCTCCCCTCCGCTTGTATTGGCTCCTCTCCGGTTCAAGTCCACTGGGGGAGATATTCAATAGGCGCAGGGTTTCAGAGCGCGGCGCGGCGCATTTTCCGCACGCGGTGGACAGAGGTCCGGTCTTACATATGTTCTTAAAAAAAACATATGTTCCACTTATGGAAAGTCGCTTTGAGTTTTTAACAGGACGYCTCTTGTTTGTCTTTAAAAAGATTTTTTCTTCCAGCCACAGAAGGCGCGCGGGGCTGCWGCAGCAGCAGGGTTTGATTAGCTCTCCCCTGGTTCACATCGGTTGTTTTGCAAAATAACCACGTGGGGGAGTACGCAGATCTTTATGAAGGGGTTCCCCCCCCTCCACCACTACCACCCTTAACGCACACACATGCACCGACACACACGCGTGCACCTTTCTAATAGGTCACTGATGATTATAGCGCTCCTCATCCTAAACAGATTATAAAGGCAGCTCCGCAGCCTCCCACACAAGAGGCGCGTAAATAAAACGGACGCGTCTGAGAAGTCGCCTGAAAATGTGTGACAAATCCGAGAGCATTTGCTCGATTTCAAAGCCTCCGCGTCTGYCATTTATTTGTATTGTCTCGGGTAATTTTCAGTGTTGTATGATCTCATCATCACCACCCACTTAGTTATGATAGGGCCAAGACGYGCTCTGTCTTTCTCCCGCTTCACCCACCCTTCCCCTCCCCTCCATCTGCATACAGTGCAGGTGACACAGGTGACATATTATACACGATTTYACTCACAGCATTCAGCGCCTTCTTTTGAAATTTGTGAAAGGAAAAAAAAGATGACTGTCATCAAGGTTAAATGCCTCTAATTATTATCTATATATCATAAAAAAAAACATTCTAATTTAATTTCCATTTAACGCCACCATGAAGCTGGGGGGTTCTAGATATCCCCCAAACCTGGAAGTGTGAATTTAACCAACACCATATATATTTTATTGTATCATTTACCTCTAGAAGCATTTTTACTAAGCAGCAACTTGAAGAGAGAAACCTTGTGTTTCTTCTCCCCCTGGCTTCTTCCTCTCCACTTCTCCCGGTTGATCTGATTATTTTTCCCTTCACGTTTTGTCCCAATAGCAAATTACCAATTCTATGAATTGCAAAGCAGCCTCAGAGACGCTGAGGGGTAGAGAGAGGGGATGGCGTGTGTGTGTGTGTGTGTGTGTGTGCGTATGTGTGTGTGTAAAACGTTGTCCGGGTCACAGGTGCTCGTCATCATCTCTTGAAAGGCGTGGTCCACCCCGTTCTTATATATTTATTTAGGATGAGTGATGGGGAGGCAATGGCTTTTACGCACGCGTCATTTCAGGAAAAAAAAAATCTATTATAGTTGTAAAACACGATTTAAAGATTAACCCATTATTGTTGTGAATATTCATCTTTTGAGAAAGAAGTCCTTAAATTAACATGTTCCATTTTGGAACTATGCCATTACAAACGACACGTCTCCTTCATAGAACAGAGCGATGCGCATTTATGGAGCTGCACCTAATTTTGCGCAATTATTGCCTAATAAAGTCCTAAAACAGATCAAATGTAAAAACAATAAAACATAAATCATATATCAGTGACAGTTAATGAGATGTCCCAACTGCACAGTTCTTGGAGTGAGTGCGTAAAACCACTGGGACCTCGGAGCTGTGAGGGCCCCGAGCTCCACGCAGCTCTCACTTGATGAAGATGCGTTCGCCATTCTCTCAATCTTGCCCCCCACTCCCGCCCCCCTTCAGTCTATAAAAAGCAGAGGTTTCTGTCACACAAACCGGGTCTTGTGCTTTTTTGCTTCTCCAGCAACGAGCTGCTGGAAAAGAAAGATCCAGATGCTTTGCCCCCCCACCCCTTTTTTTTGTAGCAAAGAGCGTTGGCCTTGTGTGCGCGCGCTGAGGTGCATTTTTGCCGGGACGCGCTGGGTTTCCATGGTGCGCCCGAAAGAAAGGGATCACACAGAAGTTCAGCTGAGAAGGACAGGCCGCGCAGGGGAAAAAAGAAAAGTGTCTGGAAACGATGGGTTTAAAATAAAATCAAATCTAAAAGGATGAAATCACGAAGATGAGTGTGAACCGCGGAGATGAGTGTCGAGGAAGTTGGACGACCTCTTTTCCAAAAAAAATTAAAAAATAAAGAAAGTCTCTTTGTTTCACGATGACATCACGACCATCTGGTTTATTATTCACTTGCTCGTCATTTTTTTTTCTACAAGTGATGTATCATAAAAAAAGTGCATCCATTCATTACGAGCTGAAACGAGTCAAGACTTGCATTTTAAAAACAGCTTTTAGCAAGACGCCCAACACTGCGCCTTCTCTGTCCAAACATGACAGTTATTTTTATTAAAAAAAAAAACAATAAAGAAAATGTATTCACGTGTTTTTGCTGTTTTGTTGCGATGAAATCCTTTTGTTTTCATCTTTATTCAGTCACGTGTCAATCCTTTCTCTGCGCGCTCTACTTAATATGCAGCAGTTATTGTCAGGACGCAAGACAAGTCAACCGACAGAACCCTTCCGACCCTTCAATTAAGCAAATCCCCCTCTTTTTTCCCACTTTGTGTCAGAACTGCGAGGCTGCACTGAAGACTAAATCAAATACAGACGCCAAAATAAAACTTTCTTTTTCTTTAGTATGATGATAAAACACGGCAAAACCTTAATCAATAATGATTTCAAGTAAAGCAAAAATGCACAACTCCAGAAGCTTTTTGTTTTTTCCATCCTATATTCCAAGGACATTCAATTACAAAATTAAGTTTATTTTAAGTTTAAAAAGTACACACACCAAGTTGGCCTAAAGTCTTGCTGAATYCCAGAGGGAGCGCTCTGACCGCGGCCACAGGAGCGATTTAGAAATTAATTTAGATTCTCAGCGAGAGGAATAATCTCCACCAAGTCATTCAATCAGATAATTATATTTTGTTTCCGCCTCTTTTTTTTTTTTTGACAGACATGCGTAATGGGCACTAAATATGCAACTGCGAGAAAAAAAAAAACACTGATGCATCTATTCTGAAGTAAATCGTCCCGTACTTTTCAGGTAACTTTTTTCTTTCC